GCCTTAACCACTCGGCCACGACTACATCTGACAACAGCCCTACCGCAATCTCACCTGCAGTGCAGGGCAGCGTCGGAAGCCTGTTTCAAAGTTGCATTTATTTGACAGGACACATGCTAGCAGACAAGACACACCTCTGAAGAGAAAAGGGCGTCTTGAATTTAGACAAGGATTTTCGAAGCTGCACCGCACTCCAGTTTGAATCGTATTAATATTGGCTTTAGTAACAGGGATGGCATTTTTACGAATACAATCTTCCCCCCAAAAAAACAAAACATGTTCTACAGTTTCATATAGTGCCGTTACGCGTCGAAGCAGTATTTTTCTTTCTCCTACCCTTGCGACACGAGACGTGAATGAACATTAGAAGACACAATGTATCGTCTCTGATCAACTCAGGGGGGTGTCGCTGCGTCAGCAGGCGCAGGCTGCAGAGGAACAAGTACAGGTTTATTCCTGTGCTGAAAAGAGAAGAGAGAAACCACAACGTTTCGGCTGTGGAGCCTTCTTCAGGTGTGAGGAAGACAGGGCAGTGGGCAAAGGAAATGTAGTGGGAGAACAAGAGCTGGGAGAGAGGAGGAGCAAGAGGACTGACAGAGAGGCCAGTCAGGAGGTGTGAAGTGAAACAACAACGAATAGAGAGAATTTAGAAGAAAAGGAGTCTGTCGTTAAGAGAAGAGGGAAGGTGTGATCCTAGCTGCAGGATAATTGTGGTTTCTGTAGTCTTTCTGATGTATGAGTTCGGAGACCCGTCTTTGAGAACACAGACGGAGAGATTAGAGTAGTCGTGGTCGTCAGAGGTGAAATGAGAAACTATGAGCCTGGAGAGATCTTTCATCCTCACAGCCCTGACGTGCTCTCTGAAGCGGTCTCCGAGTCTTCTTCCTGTTTCCTCAATGTAGATGGCTGGGCATTTACTGCAAGAGACACAGTAAATAAGGTTGCTGGAGGTACAAGATGCCATCTGGGTGATCTGAAACCGGTTTTCATGGCTAACAGGGGTCTCAGAAAGCTGATGACGAGCAGGCAGAGTCCTGACAGTCCTTCTGGGTAACTCAATGTTTCCTCATCTATCGCAATGCTGTGGACAAACCCTCTCAGTTCTGAAAAGGGAAGTCTTCTTAGTCAGAAATTAAAGAAAATAACCTGTGGGTCTACATGACTTCTTAGGGAAACTACAAGCAGAAGTTCACCACAGTAAAAACCAGTTCTGTCGATGCACCACTGCAAGTAAGTCTTTCCTCGTTTTGTGTGCCATGAAACCACATTCCTGCACAGAAAGGCCTTTGATCAGTTCTACATCCAGCTCACAGACTGTAGGTAGGATTCTAATGTAATCCTACTGTAACTACGTTAGGATTTCTACTGTTACGAGAGCTCAGTGTGGAGAAATATAGCAAAGTACTAAATTCTCATATAAAATAGCAGCCTTTTACTGATGCAAAATGTTCTGTAGTATATGGTACGTATGATTGAAAGACTGAAGTAATCCACCCTTATATGACAATTAAAGTACTAGGGTATTAATTTTAAGTTAAATCTGTCCTTAAATAAAGTTAAATAATGTCTCCTGTCCTGTTGTGTGTTTATTACCGAGGGATTCTCTGTGATCTCCTCTCTCTCACTGTGTCTCCTGTCCTGTTGTGTGTGTTTATTACCGAGGGCTTCTCTGTGATCTCCTCTCTCTCACTGTGTCTCTTGTTCTGTTGTGTGTGTTTATTACTGAGGGATTCTCTGTGATCTCATTTCTCTCACTGTGTCTCCTGTTCTGTTGTGTGTGTTTATTACTGAGGGATTTTCTGTGATCTCCTCTCTCTCACTGTGTCTCCTGTCCTGTTGTGTGTGCTTATTACTGAGGGATTCTCTGTCATCTCCTCTCTCTCACTGTGTCTCCTGTCCTGTTTTGGACTATACGTAGTATTCACTGGCGTTCCGTTATGAAAATTGCCTGTGAAGAGCTGAACAGAGAAATAAATCACAAAAAAGGCATCTGGGTAAGGATCCGAGTAAGGCTGGAGGAATTCGGATGCCGATCCCTAGCAAGGAGAAGCTGTGCGAAACAGGAAGAGGACACGGATGGACACAGGAGCTGCTCCTAGCTTGTTCGTCACACACACTGACAAACTCATCAGTAACTACTCCAGCCTGGGCATGGGATGTGTTGGGAGAGCCAGGCTGTCCGAGGTATTAAAGCCCTCAAAGTGCATTTCCAGTGCTACTGCACAGATCTCCCCCTCTGGTGCTCTGCGTGATGCAGTCACTAGAGAGTCATTAGAGAGTCGTTGGGGTTAGAGACACCAGTCCTCTCAGTTCTGAAAAGGGAAGTCTTCTTAATCCGAAATAAAAGAAAATAACCTGTGGGTCTATATGACTTCTTGGGGAAACTACAAGCAGAAGTTCAGCACAGTAAAAACCAGTTCTGTCGATGCACCACTGCAAGTAAGTCTTTCCTCGTTTTGTGTGCCGTGAAACCACATTTCTGCACAGAAAGGCCTTTGATCAGTTCTACAGCCAGCTCACACACTATAACTACACTAGGGTCTCTACTGTTACGAGGGCTCATTGTGGAGAAACATAGGCCCTTAAGAAGAGCCTATACTTAACTGGTTCTATTGTTTACCCCTCTGCTCCTACTGTATCCAGTGGCCCCGCCTACTGCCTCCTCTCGTTGTGTATTCTCATTGTGAATATCTCGTGTTTTCTTTTCTTGTTGTTATTCCTTAAAGCACCTGGAGAAGCCAGAAACCTTCAAAGGTACTGTATAAAAGAAGAAAAGAGCCGAATTCTCCTGTCAACAAGTGCAGCCCTATACTGGTGCAAAATGTACCATAGGAAATGGTACAGATCAATGAAAGACAGAAGTATTCTTCCCTTATAAAGTAATTAAAGTACTGAGGCATTGACTTTAGGCTAATTAACATGGATCAGCTTAAAAAAAAACAACAACAGTAATCACAAACACAGTAATCAGGTAAAATAAATAGCATGATTCCTTCAAGTTCAAGTATCAAGGTCACGTTTATTTGTCAGTCCAGCCATTTACAAGCACACAGAGGAGCGAGATATCGTTCTCCGGGTCTACGGTGCGAATACAGACAAGGCACTGTCTAGACAATGCTATCGAGTCTATAATTATGGTCGGTCCTGTGGGCCACAAGCTTTAATAGCTGGGGAACCTCTGCTATAGACAATATAGACATAGACATAGTCAGACATAGACATTTCTGACAGGGTACAGGGTGCAGGAAGTGCGATGTGCACAGGATTTACAGGATTGTGCACAGAATTGTGCAACGAATATGCCAGACTGTGTGCCTGACGTCAGGTTCCTCTGCATCCAGCCCGCTCTTTCTTTCTCTGCCTCTGTGAGCAGCACGCCCGACTGTAGTGAAATGGTCACTAAAACCGTAAGCAAGCCCGTAAAGTCATCTCCTGCCTGCCATGGAAAAGAGAAGAAGAGAAACACAATGTTTCGGCTGTGGAGTCCTAGACACCTGAAGAAGGCTCCTCAGCCGAAACGCTGTGTTTCTTTTCTTCTCTTTTCAGCAGGGGATAAACCTTTACTTGCTCCATTATAGAGGGTGACTGGTTTCCCAACTAAAGGATAAAAAGTGTTTTTTACATTCTTTTCTGCTACGTTCTGCTTTGCTGACAGGTTAAAGGAATGAGTTCAGGGTTATTCTACAGGCATGTGGAAGACGTCTATCAGGCATCGGTGCAGAAAAAAAAGATTTATCCAGGAAGTACAATTACAGCCAGCAGTGACACGAACTTGGGCGTCTTCTAGGAGAGCAGCTCTGACCTGTTATGCCCTCAGTCACTCACAGACCAGTGCTGGAGCTGTGGAAAAGGCAGGTCGATTGCACTCGAGCCACAGCAGGACTTCAGGCCAGAGCTGATCCTGGTCCCCATGGTGTTAAGTGATCAGAGGCCATGCCAGCAGTGTCACGGTTCCCCGTAATCTGGAACAAGCCCCTGCCAGTTCTAGACTCGTACTCGTTCCTTTGCAGCCCAAGCCTGCTGACGCAGCTCCCCTGCTTGAGCTGCCCCTGCCTGTCGTCACCCGCGCTGCAGACACAGAACCTGGAGTGTTTGTTACAGTACACAATCCGGATCGTGTTGAGCGGGCGGTGCTGGGTTGTGGGTACTTGGGCAGGCGGCAGGGAGAGTCTCACTCACTAGCTGGAGTCATCTCACCCTCCTAGTCTGTTGCGCCACCGAATTGCAATTCACGGTTAAGAACCTCGTGCTCGGTTTCGAATGTTAAATGTGCCGATGTCGAGACCCTACTGTATCATGTTTATATAACAATGTACTCTCTCATTGTGTCTCCCATCCTGTTGTGCATTTTTATTACCTACAGATTCTCTGTGATCTCCTCTCCCTCTGTCTCCTGTCCTGTTGTGTGTGTTTATTACAAACTGATTTTCTATTTTTTCTCCTCTTTCTCCTTGTGTCTCCTGTCCTGTAGTGTATGTTTATTACTGAGGGATTCAATGTGATATCCTGTGGTGTGTGTTTATTACTGACTAATTTCCTCTTATCTCTTTCTTTCCCTGTGTCTCCTGTCCTGTTGTGTCTTTATTACTGAGGGATTTTCTGTGATCTCCTCTCTTTCACTGTGTCTCCTGTCCTGTGGTGTGTGTTAATTATTGAGATTCTCTGTTACCTCCTCTCTTTCAGTGTGTCTCCTGTCCTGTTGTGTGTGTTGATCACTGACTGATTTTCTCTTATCTCGCCTCTTTCTCCCTGTGTCTCCTGTCCCGCTGCATGCGTTTATTACTGCTTGTTTTTGTTGTTACAGCATCAGCAGACAGAGTGGAGCCTCCGCAGGGAGGGAGGAGGACAGAGAGGAACAGAAAGAGAAGAGAGAATGAAAACAGTGGAGTGGGAGGGAGGCTGGGAGAAAGGGGAGAAAAGGCGGGTCTCTGACAGGTGCATATATCAGATACAGTGCCAGACAGAGGGGGAGAGGAGAGGACACTGACACACCTGTAGTCATGTCGAGAGGCGTCAGTCTCTGTGTGTTGGCGGCTCTGATTGTGACGGCGAGAGGTAAGTGCTCTTAGTGCTCTGACATGCTCTACAGTTATTAGTCATTGGGCACAGTAGATCCACAAGTGGCAGGTGGGGGGTGTGGTGGCTCTGTGGTTCTGTGGCTCAGGAGCTGTGCCTGTGGCTGGGAGGTTGCCGGCTCGAATCCTGCAGCCGGATGAAGAATCCTACTCCACTGGGCCCCTAAGCGAGGCCCTTCACCCCAGCTGTTCCAGGGGTGCTGTATAAATGGCTGACCCTGTGCTCTGACCCCCAGCTTCTCTCTCCCTGTCTGTGTGTCTCATGGACAAAAAGCTGGGGTCTGAGAAAAGACACATTCCTCATGCAAGAGATTGTATCTGGCTGATAAAGTGAGTTTGAAAGTGGAGCACAATAGGAGATTGGTCGGAATTTAACCTTTGTCTAGCAGTACTGATCTGATAAACAAAACTGGTCCGGTAAAAAAAAGATAAAATGACCTTCTTGGATTGCTCATCGGACAGTCTGGATGAAAATGTTACAAACTTTAGTCACGCATCTTTGCTGGTTTTTGCTTCAGAATTAAAAAAAAAATCTGTCTTAGCTGCGTGATACTAAATCTAAGGGCTTTTCTCCCACAACAGGTCTTTACACAAATCAAAATCGAATCAAATCAAATCAAAGTTTATTTATCAAATGCACAACAATACAGCGTGCTGTATTTGCTACAGTACAGTTGCTGGCAATGAAATGTCTTTTCCGCAAGCACACAAAAATCACAAGAATCACAGAAATCACAAAAATCACAAAAACACGAAAAAAAACAAAATTTAGGTTATGAAAATAAAGTTACATAACAATAGATGTAATAGAAACTGAATAAAACTCAATAGAGCTGCTGTGTGTCCATGGTCTATGCAATATATACAAGTAGTGCAGTTATGCTGAATGCAGTGAAAACTGTGTGTCCATGTAGCCGTTACAGGTGATTTGCTAAAGGAGCTGCAGGTTGGCTATTTAGCAGTCTTATTGCCTGGAGGTAGAAGCTGTTCTGTAGTCTGTTGGACTTGGACCGAATGCTTCAGTACCGTTTACTGGAAGGTTGTGTTTGAAGCTGCAGTCCAGGTTTCTGTGACTAAAGACTCTTATTTTACTGATGTAAATTCATAGGAGAGATACATACCTGTAATGTGTGAAATACTGTGTTAACTGCAGTTTCCCTGGGCAATACTCCCAGAGGGTCACCCAGAATCATGTGGCTCAGCTGCTGGTGACCCATTGCTAAATTGTAAGCTCAGAAACTGTGTCAGAGTCAGAAACTGTGACCACTGAAGAACAGTGGACCCTTCTAGAAAACCTACATCTGTTTTTAGACATTCTTTTTTCCACATCGGCTTGTTGTGTTGAGTGTGCAGCTGAATCTGTTTGAGTACATTTTTCTGTGAAGCGCAAACTCCAGTTTTCGATTTTCGCTGTGTTCGGGATGGTTGGGATATGGAGAGTGACCTTCGGTACCTGTAATAATAATAATACAGACCACAGGGTGAGCGCCTCCTGCTGGCCCCACTAACACCTCTTCCAGCAGCAGCCTTAGTTTATCCCAGGAGTCTCCCATCCAGGTACTGACCAGGCTCACACCTGCTGAGCTGGAGTGGGGCTGCCAGCTGTGAGCTGCAGGGTGATATGGCTGCTGTACATCCTGTCTCTCACACTCTCTGGTGTGTCTCTCCAGCCTGTGGCCAGGTGCCCCTGAGTCCCAGGACCCTGCAGGGGAACTCTGCCCAGGAGGGCTCCTGGCCCTGGCAGGCCAGTCTGCACTGGGACGGAAAATACCTGTGTGGAGGTTCACTGATCAACAGCAAGTGGGTGCTGACCGCAGCGATTTGCTTCTATAAGTAAGACATTTTCTCTATCTTCTGTTCGCTGAGAAATAGGAAATGCCAGTGGTTCTATTTCTAGTTCTGTGCTGCATTTTTATCGCCTTTCCATTGGTTGAGCTCGCTGAATGGGAGCTCAGTTATAGTCAGTCTCAACATCCTGTAAATCTAATGACTGATCCTTGTGTCATTGACCACTCTGAAACTCAAGGAGCTCAGCAGCTGAATGGCTGGCTTTGGGTTCGGACACTCAGGTGGCAGCAGGTGTGACAACCCAGATGAAAGAGAAATGGAGCAGCAGTGAGCTTACACAGGGCCCAACACTTGACCTCTGACCTTGACCACCTCTCTCTCTCGCTCTCTCCAGGAGCAGTACCGCTGCCAGTCAGTGGACAGTGTACCTGGGCAGGCTGACACAGCTGGGCTCGAATCCCCACGAAGTGTCCAGAGGGGTCCGGAAGATCATTCTCTACCCCTTCGGCTCTTATATTTATTATGATAACATTGCCCTGGTGAAGCTGAGCAGCCCTGTCACCTTCAACGACTACATCCAGCCCATCTGTCTGGCCGACACCAGAAGCTCTTTCCAAACTGGCACCAGCTGCTGGGTCACTGGGTGGGGCAACATGACTGGCAGAAGTAAGGGGCTCTAGCACTCCTGTCAGTCCACATATTGAAGCATTAATAATAATAATAATAATAATAATAATTGCTTACACTTATATAGCGCTTTTCTGGACACTCCACTCAAAGCACTTTAGAGGTAATGGGGACTCCCCTCCACCACCACCAGTGTGCAGCCCCCACCTGGATGATGCGACCATAGTGCACCAGTGCTCTCATCACACACCAGCTCTCAGTGGAGAGGAGAGCAGAGTGATAAAGTCAATTCATCTTTTCGAGAAACACCCTGCTTTTTTAAATGACCACAGAGAGTCAGGACCTCGGTTTTACATCTCATCCGAAGGACGGTGCCTGTTTACAGTCTAGTGTCCCCATCGCTATACTGGGGCATTAGGACCCACATGGACCGCAGGGTGAGCGCCCCCTGCTGGCCCCACTAACACCTCTTCCAGCAGCAACCTGAGTTTTTCCCAGGAGGTCTCCCATCCAGGTACTGATTGGGCTCACAAAAAACATTATAAACATTACATTACATTAGATTACCTGCTGAGCTGCAGTGGGGCTGCCAGCTGTGAGCTGCAGGGTGATATGGCTGCTGGCATTCCTATAACATCTCATTCTCTCTCTCTCTGTTTCAGTCAAACCTCAGCTCATTCCCCTACAGTGGCCCCCTCTCTCTGTCACTACCTCCTGGGGGCATCGATCTCTGCCAGTGGATGGGGGGGGAGGGGTCAAAGATCACAGGTCACACGTGTCATCTGTCACCTGGTCACTTCCTGTCAGCCCATGCTCACTCCACGGCTGTAACTGTGCTCCACATGTCCCTGCGTCACGCACACGTGAACGGCTGAGTGTCCGAATCCAGGACTGAGTGAGACACCACAGGACACTGACCCCCCTTCTGGTCTTGTCTTTCAGGGACAGCCTTGTCAGGGAACAAGACCCTGCAACAGGCCCAGCTGCCCGTCATCGAGAGCACAGACTGTGTCAGACGGATCTATAAACTTTATGGGTTTGCGTATGTTACACAAAAAATGATCTGTGCTGGTGTCATTCAGGACAAAGTAATTCAGGTCCAGGTAAGTGAAATAATTCTTTCTCTTCTGTATTTAACAATAAGTTACACAAGCAAAATTTAGAAAGAAAAAAAGCCTGGATTTTGTTATATGATCTATGAAATCGGAAACAAAGGGCTACATATAGTCACGAGTGTGTCTGAGTGTTAATGGCCTGGAGTGTCCAGTCAGTCAGTATGTCTGTATTAACCCCTCTCTCTCAGTGCAGTGTTCATGTACTGTAGTGTCTAGTCAGTCAGTCTGTCTGTATTAACCCCTCTCTCTCAGTGCAGTGTTAATGTACTGGAGTGTCCAGTCAGTCAGTGTGTCTGTATTAACCCCTCTCTCCCAGTGCAGTGTTAATGTACTGGAGTGTCCAGTCTGTCTATATTAATCCCTTTTTCTTTGTTATTGTAGGGCCTATATTACCCTTTCCCTGGGGTTTTAGGGAGTCCACTGGTGTGTAAACAGGAGTCTACCTGGATTCAGGCTGGAGTTGTAAATTTTAGAAACTATTGTCCCAGATACTTTGAGGTCCATGCAGGAGTGTCAAGTTACAAGTCCTGGATTAAAAAACAAGTTGGGTTGGAGACTACAGACTTCGTGGTCTTTAGTAATAGTCATACTACGAACGTTCCAATTGTAGTATCGGCTTATACAACAGCACCGGTGACCATAGCTCCCTCTACTCCTACAGATTTCTCTACAACTACAGAACCACTGAACACTGATTTCTTTACTACTACACCAGTGACCACTGATTTCTCTACAACTACAGAACTACTGAACACTGATTTCTTTACTACTACACCAG